GCATATACAGTACATAAGAATTTATATACATACATGTTAAGGCTAATGATTGCATGTTCAATTCAAATAAATTGCACATAGATAAAATAAATAAAACTTCTAAAATATATACTAAAATATGTAAGGAAAATATACATATTTTCATATTTTGCACTTATTTCTTAGTGTCAAGAATATTTTATAGGAATAAAAATTACAGTATTGATAAAATTTTATTTTATATTTAATTTTAATAATTATAATAAATTTAATATATAATTTTAAAATCAACATGTTATAGTAAGAAAAAATATACATATATTTCAAATACTTTAATATTTTTACACATATATTTATAGAAATGAATAATAGACGTAATATAGAAATATTAATATAATATTAATAATTGTAATAACTTTAAGCAGTTCATACATTTGTTGATATTAAATAAAGATCACATAGAAATATATAAATATGCATAACTAGCAAAAAATATAGGGTAAATTTTATGATTTATTTTTTGTACATGATTACTTGCGTAAATGCATTGGGTGAAGAAATCTTGATGTTATTTTTGCGATTAGGAGCCAGACTGATGTTTACTACAAACGAGTGTAGCTAATTTGTTTTTCAACTTGCATGTTACAAGGAGATTACGGTACTGTAAAGTGATGTGTTTACAGATAAAACGGTAATAAATAAAATGAATTGTAATTCTAAACCAGAACTCCTTCACCCAATGATTTACGAATACAACAATGATTCCAATAACAGTAAAGGTATTAATCTTAATATTAATATTGAATATTTAGATTCAAAAGCAAAGGAGAACTAGTTTGAGTTATTCATAATAAAATTAATAATGGCTTGGTTCATTCATTAATCAAAATCCCACACACACAATTCTTTTGATATGTATAGACATGAGCACCTGGAGTAGGATTAAGTATGTCCATAGTAAAAGCAACACATATTATCACCTTAATACAGCAAACCTTTGCAGTATAAAAGAACATAAAATCTCTTTTAATTTGTACTGAAATTCTATATTGAAATGTTACACACACATATGTAATATATGCAACCATTTGCTACGCTACGAAGACACTAGTTAGCCGGAGATCAATAAGCAACGAACGGAGCATATTAATTGAAAATAAGCACATTCTTCAACCACATGGTGTAATATATTAGGTTATTTAAATTTACATTTTATTAATTGATAATAAATTCCATGTGAAGAACAGAATATTTTATCATTTAAAATTTTTGTCAAAATTTCAAAACGATGTCATTCTGTAATATATATTCTAAAATTATACTTTCTTGTTAATTCAAGACCCCTCTAATACTCGTTTTACAGAAAGCTAACCATCTAATTGAAGACGAACAGAGACCACCCTACATTTTTAGGTCCGGAATGTGGTCCTGAATTGGAGGGTGAACTGTTTTTCATTTAAATTCTTCAGAAGGTTCATGTTTTAAATTTGATGATTTTCATATAATTATTTTTAAAATATCAAGGTCACTGACACAAATGTGTAGGCCATACTTTATTACAAAATACGGCAAGATACAGTATTAACCAAAGTCTTGGGAAAAGCAAGAATTTTCGCATGTCTTTGAAATGCTCTTCCGCATAATGAGGTTGGTGCAATCACTTGACATTTCGAAATGGAAACTGAATACCATGCTATTCAAGTGGCTTTGAACATTTCCATTTAACTCCAGTCACTCAATATATTAGGCCTACATTGGTTGAATGATGAACGTGGCGATGAACGCTATATCCACGTAGGTGGTGTCATTTGGAAATCAAAATATTAAAATATTCTGCTTTTATTCAATTTTTTTAAACATTTAACAACAGACCCCACCCACACCCCCTAAACACGCTGAAATAAATGTTTTTTTTTCCTTTATGGTACTGTACATTTTTCTAATCTTAGCTACAAATTTCTCTCAAAAATTAAACTTATTTAAAATATTATGATTTAAATTCTTTAGATTGTTCATGAATGCCTTTTATATGCACAAGTTTGTGAAGCTATAAATATTAAAAGTTACAAATGACATGTTCTTCACTGAAAAGCACATATTACACTGGCATGGCATGCAGTTTTTAATTGATTACAAAATTCCAACATTTTGACACTAATCTATTACAGCTGTTCATACCCTAAATTAGAGATAAATTTTAATTTAAACTATTGGAAGAATTTCATATATGGTATCCTTAGTTCTAATATTATACAACTACAACCATTTTCAAGAAAACATCACAATCCTATTCTGTAATACTAGCATCTTAAAAATAATATATTAATTAAAACTTTAAGCCTTGATTGTTGTTACTAATAGGAAGAATCAGAGTAAAAGAAAATCGTATTCATTCATTTCTTATAATACTGTACTATTGTTACTTTGAACAATTCAATTTTCGTTTCATGAGCAAGCATATTAAGATGCTAAAATTTTCCTTGTTTTTGTATTGCAAATAATGCACGTTCATAATTCTGAATTCAGGAAAAATCTGTACTGATTAAAGTCTGTCAAGGTTAATTATTATTAATAACCGTAAATGCCTAAATAAGCGCCGCAACGCTTATAAAATTTGTTGAGGCTTCAGTGCAGCGCCTATTTGAGAGTGGTGCTTTGAAAAAATATTGCCAGCGCTTTCCATGCCAGTTCCCATGTTACCCATTTCATGTATTCCCGTAGTTCAGTAGGCCTATCATAAGTCCTATCATCGTAAACAAACGTTTATAAAGAAATGCTTGTGTCTTCATTGTATGATTTACAGTATTCATTTTAACACCATATACATTATATTTAAATTCCTGTTTCATTACACACAGGGTAATATTATACACTCTTGATTAAGCACTGCGGCACTTTAACAAAAAAATATTAGGTTTGGTGTGATGCTTATTCGAGCATTTATGTTACCAATCAACCATTTGGACTAAAGGGTCATTTCATGAGATATTTTTCCTCAGACCCAACCTGAGTATTTAAAAACATTAACACAATGGGTACCTAAGTTTGTGACTATAAGTTCTCCATCTTTACTCAGTGCCATACCAAGCGGGCCACTTATACCATCGGCCTCCGAGAGTACCATACGTATAAACATTCCTTCCGTGGTAAAGAGTTGCACACGATCGGCACAGTCTGCAACCAGAATGTTATCATCCTTATCGAAACATAAACCTGTTGGTCCGATAAATTGACCATTACCTGAACCGCACGTTCCGAATGTATGTAGATGAATGCCCTCTATACTGAACACTTTCACGCAATGATTGCAATGATCGGATACAACAATTCTATCTCGAGAAACAGCAACATAACGTGGTTCATTAAAATTTTCATCAGAAGAACCCCGAGAACCAAAACTATGCACCAGTCGGCCATCCGGATCATGGATGGTCACACGATGTTTGCCGATATCGGTGACGATGATTCGCCCTTTGTGATCAATGGTTATTCCATACGGTTGTTTCATCATACCGTTATCCCCAAAGTGTGCTACATATTTTCCATACAAGGTAAGAATTTGAACACGGTGGTTATACTCATCGGTGATATAGATCAGAGGGTCATCATCCTGGGTAAACGCAACATCCAGTGGAAGCTCAAACTGGCCAGGATTGCGCCCACGCGAACCAAATTTACACTCAAACTTCCCTTTACGGTTGTATACCTGAATGCGATCGTTGTCGCGATCTATAATGCCCATGTATTCGCTATCTGATGTGACAGCCACGCCACTTGGCCAATCAAATTCTCCAGCCTCACCAGATTCATCTCGTAGGTGGTACAATAGTTTAGTTTTGATCGGGTGGCGGAGAGGGCTTGGGGGCGGTAAACGCTTTGGCGACCGACATACTAACTCCAAATTTGGCAGTTCGCTAGGTTCAGACGATTCATAGGAACAAAGCGATTTTGTGTCGCCCTCCGAAAAATCTGATGCTGTTCTCTCACCGCACCTAATTTCCCCAAGAACAGGAATGCTATTTTCAACCACAGCCTCATCTGCAACAAAATACAACTGACTTAGTTGATCTATCGTCATGTCCTGCTGAGGAGAAATTGTTGACAAGCCTTGCAGGCGATCGATAACTTCATCTTTGATGTAAAGCATATCGAGTTGACTTCCGTGGCCAAGTGCCTTTTGCGTGAAATCAAACCCACTGAGAAGATTCTCCAGAGCGCCTTGAAGACTCTTACGGTGGGCTGTCAGCTGCTTGCGACGGCTTTCGCAAATTCGTGCCAATCGCTTGCAAAGTTCCTGTTGCTGACGTCGTAGTAGCACGATGTACTCGTCCACAGTCCTATCAATGATATATTCTGCCTGGCCTTTGTTTGCTTCTAAATTCGCTTCAGCTTCATCAACATTTCTTAAAGCTTCTTCAAAATCAGTTATCTTATCTTTGACACCATGCAACAGTATATTTATCTTATGTTTGTGTCTTGCAACCTCATCCTTTAAGAAATTATGAGAATGGTCTTTATGTTCCACAAGAACACATTCCCTACAAATTGGCACACCACACGTTTCACAGTAAAATCGTGCTAGTTCTGGGCCATGCTTTTGGCAGACTGGGTCATCTTTACTGCCTGGTTTATTTTCTGGAGATGGTGGGAACGAGATGATGTGATGTTGCCTAGTAAATCGAGCTATTCTATGATCGTGATTTGGAGCACAATCATCACACAAGAAATCGACACATTCTAAACATCGGTAACTAGCTTCAACGTCTGTTCCATTACAGCCGGTGCAGATCGCTCTCCTCGAAGGTCCTTCGTCTTTCTTAGGCGTAAATACATCTGACAGATTCAGAATAAAGAAGTTATCTTTAAGTCCGCCTACTCCGACATCCGGCAAGTCCGTATCTTGCTTGCACATCGGGCATCGTATTGTTCCTTCTTTTGTCGATACATACCGAGCGAGACAGGCCTCACAAAAACTATGTAAACACGGCAGAAGCTTTGGTTTGTTGAATCCTTCGAAACACACTTGACAGAGTAAAAATTCCTCACTGATCTGACTGAGAACAGAAAGCTGCGAGAGAGATGCGGCCATTTTTAGCGGATTGATTCCTTCTGTTTCTGTTTATATCTCTCATGAATCAATGAAAATGATGGTGATGAGATGTTTGCGGAAATGCTAATCACTACTAATGAATATTTAAATGAGAACTTTCTAGAGGGCGCTAAACACAAATTTAGGCACTGCCAGCACTGTACGCGCTAAGTAGATGGTGATTTAAGTCGCTTTGTGAAGATGTAGAACATCTTTAAATTTTTAAATAATTACAGACAACACCCTGGTTAGGTGAAACCTTTAGCGCCGTAATTCCCCGAAAGAATATATAAAATCCAAAAATGGATAGGCCTATACATATTTAGTTATTGTAGACCTATTTAAAAACGTATATATCTGAGACATTGCGAAAAAGATGGCCCAGTTTGTTTTCCTGGCTGTATTGTACATTGGTGAGATTGATAATTTCGCGCGACTCCAGAAAATGAATATTCAAACTATAATCGACATGAATTATTCATGACCTGACGGAAATGGTGCCCATATAACGCTTACCATACAAAATCAGGGCAGTCGGAACTCTTCTACGTAAAGTGTCTCCAACAGATTACATTCCCACTTTTTTTTAGAAACCTTAGCAACCGTATCTAATGTGGGCGGTGCTTCAAACTTTGGAATAGTCCATTTACCAAACAGGTTAATGAAAATTTAACATAATTAATGTACAGTGAGAAATGGAACTACCAAAAAATAGAGTACAATATTGAAAACAAGGAGATAATAATGTAACTCAAAATATAAGCGTGAAATACAATTCGTTCATTTTCTTGGACATCCTGACATAAATAAAATGGTGCTTGTATGAGCTCAGTATTAAATGCTTTATACTAGTTAAATCGCATTAAAGAGACAATAGGCCATATGTCAAGTTAATTACTGTATTTATTTTTCCACAAATGAATTCATTATGTTTTTAAGCAAAGATATTTTCAAGGGGACAAGAAAGAATGACACAACCACAATGGTAATAAAAACAATAACATAAGGCCATGTAAAAAAAAAAGTTGCTGACCGTCACAGGTGGCTGACTTTGCTGGATCTTACAGTGCAGCGTTCAGTTGGAATATATACAAACAAACAATTGAAAGACAAAATAATTACCCAAAAAAGTTGAATTATGGGCAGAAAGACAAAAATTTTCATGAGTTTTAGCAAAAAATTGGTCAGGTGATTTTTTTTAAAGAAGGGAGGGAACAATCAAAACTTTTTTTTTTACATGGCCTAACTAACAAGATATCATTTTAATAATATTTAACCGTGAATCATAATCATAGTTGCAAATCTGAAATAGTGTTACTTTCAATGATAAATGTTTATTTAATTTTGCAGTGACTGATTCTGGAGTTCAAAATAGAGGGGTGGGGGTTGAAGAAGGAATTTTACAAATTGAGGGTCCAGACTACAGGCCTAGCATGGGGCTGAGGTACAATATTATGTCTAACCACACCTCCAGATGGCAGGAAAAATGCATCCTCAAAATATACTGCACTGTGATCCATGATGGATAGTGACACCATGGTACAAAGTGTGTGGTTGGCGTGCAAGCAAATAAATGTGACTGCATGGTTTAAACAAAATGGTGACACCAATATGGGTGTCAAGTAAAACAGTGACATCTGCAGTACAAATCTGACTGAATGTTGTCAAGCAAAATAGTGACACCAGTACAAAATTCCCTGGATGCCAGGTGTCAAGTAAAATAGTGACATCAGTACAAATGTGACTGCATGGTTTCAAGCAAAAAATAGTGACACCAGTACAAAATGCACTAGATGGTGTCAGGTAAATAGTGACAACAATAAAGGGTGTCAAGCAAAAGGTAACACCAGTACAAAAATTCACTCTGCTGTTAGGCTTAACCATTTACAACAAAATGTAAAAACTCTAATGTCAAACAATGTAGAGTACAATTATATACAATGTTGGTGTCAAGCAAAATAATGACACTGGTTAGAAAGTTTGCGCCAAGCAAAGTGTTGACACCATGGTGCTGTAACTTCCTAGTCAAGCGAAATATTATTGGTATACAGGTTGCCTGTATCCAGCCTCACAAGAATTTTAACTGCATACATATCTAATCTAATCATATTTATTTATATAGCGCCTTTCTTTGCAGATACGAAGCGCTTCTGTCCCTGGTCATTGGATCCACATGCTAAGTGTTGCTGCTGTATTCAGCGCAGGAGCTCCTGTCTCTTATACACATCTGGAGCAAGCAACCCCACCAGGTACCCATTTATACTCCTGGGTGGAGAGAAGCAATGCAGATAAAGTGCCTTGCTCAAGGACACAAGCGAAATGCACAGCGAGGGATTGAAACCCCGACCTTGAGGTTGGAAAACCAAACCTTTCACGCTGCGCCAAACCGCTTTCACATCTGATGTTGATTACTTATTCTTCAGCATCCCAGATAGAATTGATGTGAGATTCGGGAATGTTGGTCGCTCATGCGGGCACCACTTCCAACAATCCAGCATTAGTTGATACCTACGCAATGGAAAATGTAAATAATATAAGTAAATACAATCACGTCTATGTAATCAATTTCTAAGCTCTGTCCACACTAGCATATGCCCATATTTGGGTGTAATATGACATCATCATGCCCATATAGGGGCACATCACACAAATCTCTCACATCAAATTTGATAGTGTAAACAGAGCTTTAATCTCACTTTTTCTATAAGTGACAAAAACTGATTTTGTGATTTTAACTCGTACTAGCAAGTGACCACCAATGATTGGCCCTTGCAAAAGTCACTTATAATCACTGCCACTGGCACAAGTTTATCTTGACTTTCACTTTCTTAAATTTGTCAATTGAAAGTGCTGATCATTTTTTTGATCTGTCAAATGTCAATATGCATACTCTAATTAAGTGTTCGGCAAACTTTTAGAATTCAGACATGAATCACCACTAACTGACCCCTTATCCGCACATTCCAGTAATTCAGAAAGCTAGCCCTAGTGAACCATAAAATATATTAAAATAAGAAACATAAAGAATAATAATTATTACAAAAAAATCATAACGTAAAAACGATGCCTGTAGTGTCATTGCACAGATGTAACACTGAAGTATGCCGATTGATGGCTTCATTGTTATTTTAAGTATAAAATAAATGCTTCAAATGATCATAATGCCTATAATATTAAGGGACAGAATTGAGCTTAGCTGATTTTGGTGATTTCTCTCAAGGCTTCACGATCCACCAAAATATTTTGGTGACCTACTGGTGGGTCACGACCTACATTTTGCAGAACTTTGCTCTAATTGATCTTAATGTCTGTAAGATTTCAGGCATGCTAAAGCAACGTACACTTCGTTTGGGCAGCATTGGGGAATGTCCATCTTCCTGCCCGACCAGATCAGATCTATCATCATGTCCATTGGAATTCCTGGATACGGAGTCATTCCAAGGCTCATGATTTCCCACAGGAGCACACCAAATGACCAGGCATCACTCTTTATGGTGAATACTTGATCAAAGAGTGCCTCAGGTGCCATCCATTTAACTGGTACCCTTGCCTTGGGAGGGGGAACAAAAAAAAGGAGAGGAGAAAAAAAATATATTAAGGTTAATTATAATATCTGTCATGATAAGACTGATGCATTGTTGAAAGCAGCATACTGTAGCATAATATTTTATATTATTATTATTATTTAATTATTATTATTATTCAATTGAATTTGCAGATTGTGTAACATATCAATATCAGATACATGCATATCAAAAGTATTATTATTATTGTTATTGATATACTCAATAAAGAATATAGTCAGAATATAATCCTAGAGTAGGAAATACTGATGGCTCTTTGTGAAGAGAATAATAACTCATCAAAACTAGATTTGAACTCGTCACTGAGGACGAGTTAGGTGATCCGCCGCACTTTGACCCTCATTAAGATCACGCGGTGCTGATTGAAAAGTGTCATAATATGCTAAAATATGCTGTAATTAGTTTTTTTTAAAAAGAATAATTTGAGCATTTTAAAAGATTTCCGCATTTGTACACGTACGTCTTGACGCCCGTGAGCACGGTAATAGCACAAAGAGTGACTCCTGATATGAATAATGTGTCAGGAACACAAAGTATGTAACAAAACGTGATTTTCAGCTTTAATATGTGCTGTGTGCGTGGAAATGAACGTACATCGGGTAAATTATCGAAAGTTTTGAAATGCTGAAAATGACCCGTAACGTCACCATGTGTGCGTGTACAGTAATAGCACACGAAATTAAACATTGTCAAGTATATTTAAAACCGCCTGTTAGTTGGTAATGCCACACGAACTTTCCCTTCACATAACATATATATATTAGTCTGATAGCGTCGAAATACAGTCTGCCGTCTTCACTCTGTTCTATTGTTTTACATCTTTTAAGAATGAGAGATAAAAGGGCTCCAAAAATTCATTCTTTTTGACCATATTGACGTGATCAAAATAAAAAATAAAGGGACACGTCTTCAAGAGAATTGATTCAGCTATAACATACTCACAGGTGGGAGACAATCAATCAAGAATAAGCGAGATACGTTCAAACGAGTATAAACATAATGGCATCATAAATACAAATTCAGTTTTTTAATTCAAATGTCAATATGATGACGTCACAATGTCCCTGTCTCTTATTCGTATCTACAACTCATGTGCTTTCAGATTATGTAATAAAAATTGGGGGTCACCTTTCATCCTAAGGAGCTATAACTGATTAAAAATATTCATGGTTTTATGCATATATAAATGTTGACGCACGCGTACGTGCACGCTAAAAAACGCGAACGGAATATTAAGGTAAATAACATTCAACCTTGACCTGAAGCTTATGCTCACCTAATATGATTTAGAAATGACGAATGGTTAAGATTATATGGGGTCATCAACGTTTTGAAGAAAGAGAAATGAGGGGGTCAGAAAAAACAATTTTTTTGACCAT